GCTTGGAAAGTTACCGCGTTTCCCCCAGCGGGAAAGCTCGTTGGTGAAATAAGCACGTCGATCGCGATCGTTGGCGCCTACTTCGTTCTATCGTGCGTTCGTTTATTGTGCTTGTTACGTGTGTTTTGCACGGCTATCTACGGTATCACTATTCTTGGCACGGATTGAACGAGTCCCACGTGTGTTTGTGTGTCCGTTGAAAAAAAGAGAAAAAGATCGCCGCTATATACACACGCCCGTGGGAAGGAAACGTAGCGTTTGCTGATTGGTGATTCATGGGAAATGTTGCTTTCTCGCGTGATTATCCTCCTCGTTAACATTTCGCAAGGTCCTGAGATTTTCGGTTTCGAGATGTGTTTGCTTGAACGGTGATTCATGGAAATTGCTGGAATCTTCTGTGGTTATCTCGCTCGTTAACATTTCCCAGCTTCCTCGGATCTCCTCTTCGGAGACGTTCCCTTGGAAATTTTGCGAAACATTTTCTCTTACAATTGTTGAAATTGCTAAAATTGTTCTGTATGATTATGAATTCTCAGTTCATTTACTTCCGTTCACCGTCATTTTCATATTTGAACTTTTTCAGAATATACTACACATTTCTTCTTCTTCTTCTCAATTCTTCGTCCGATGTTCTCTGTGTACATTTCGAATTTTCTGAATTGTTATTTGTTAGGATTTTCGTCTATTTTTGGTGAATGTGTATTTAGAGTTCGGTGATAGTATTATTGGTTTCGTATCTGAGGATCTTCTAGCTTTTACGTTTGATGTTACAGAATTTTATTGGAAAAATATGTTGTCCTGTGTGTTTGGGGTTTTTTCCTATATCGTTAAATATTGCTTTTGGTATTGTGCACGGTAGCGTGAGAACAATGGCTTGCTGAACATGGTTCGACAGAGGTTGTCTCTTGGTAGAAATAGGAGAAAAAAGTATCGTTCGAAGGCTTTCGAGATGTCGTTGGTCATTTAAAGGGGAGGTGAGAAATGAAAGAGTGGTTATTAATATATATTAGGTGTGCAAATTAATTCGTGGCCTTTGTTTCGTGGATTTGTTATTTATTTAAAAAAAAAACCGAAGTACAGTTCAGTCTTGGAAATAATCTCCGTCACTTGCTCTACATTTATTCCATTTCTCAGGCAGTTGGCGAATTCCCCTTCGAAAAAATGATGGCGGTTTCGAACGTACAAAATCAGCAATGCTGTTATTGACATCTTCGTATGTTTCGAATTTTGAATCGGTTAGATGGTGCTGAAGTGAACGAAAGAGATGATAGTCTGGAGCAGAATTTCCGATCCCAAAGATCTTTCTCTTCAGGAGCACTCTTTTTTAAGTTGAAACGCGAAAAGGATGCAGTGTCTAATATGCTGTTTATCCGACGACGTAGTGTTTCTTAGGCTATGTCGTTAGTCACATCGAGTCCGACAGTGTTTTGTTTTACTAATAGAAGCAACTTCAGAACTCTAGCACAGCGGGAAAAAAGATTCAATTCGCAAGGGCCACGAATTAATTTGTACACCTAATAGTATTAATACGTGTTTTACTATTAGGATTCTAATGGAATTCTAGGCGATGTGTACACGCAATTTACCAGTTATCTAACGCAATTAATCTTAGCCGATGTTAGAGAAACGCATTCGAGGTATACAAAGGCGTGGTCGTAAGGGACACTTCCGATAAGAATTCTGAAATAAAATACGATACAAGATGTTTCAATAAGGATGTAATTCCAGAATATGTCCACAGTCGTGAAAGTTTCTGTGAAAAATAGTCTCGAAATTGGAGCAATATTTTATCTAGATTACTATTGAATTAACGTCGAGAAAAGGGATTAATAAAGTATCGAATAATTAATTTATAATTTCGTTTAAAACTGAATTTTTCGGCGTTCATTTTTTCAAATGCAAATTTCAAGACGCTGTTTAATTTATAATTTCGTTTGAAACTGAATTTTCTGGCGTTCATTTTTTTCAAATGTAAATTTCAAGACGCTGTTTAATTTATAATTTCGTTTAGAACTGAATGTTCTGGCGTTCATGTTTTAAAATGTAAATTTTAGGGTAATAATTTATAATTTCGTTTAAAACTGAATTTTCTGGCATGAAGTTTCTGAAGAGGAATTTTTCAAGATCTCTTCAGGTGAAAAATACGAATCAAAATTTTGTTCATTATTCCTTCTAAAGTCACCTCGAGTTTTGTCCAAGTGTTTCCTCTAATAAGAGTGGTTACTTTTTTGTTTCCTTCTTTTCTCCGGAGGTTAATTAACGAAAGTATATTACAATTGATGGCCTGTAAATACGATAAACCTACAATATGCACCAGAACGATAAGCGCGTTTGCGGACCATTTGAATACGCCATATAGCGTCCCTATCAACGATAAGGCGGCTGACGATCTTTAATTAAGGAAGAATAGCGGGGCGTAAATTGCATATCTTACAGTAGTGTATATAAATAGTTCGAAAACGATGCGGTAATATTTACTTACATCTCACAGTGAGATAATTTCGAAATGAAATCTTGGAAAAATATTTCAAATGTTACAATAAATATTTGAAATTTCACGAAATTAATCCTATTTTATCTTGCAATTGAATTGCAGACAATTTTCAAACAAAATCACAAATATTTTGCAATAAAGTCTGTATACAAAATTAACGAAATTAACGCTATTTTATCTGACAAATTTGATCACACAGTTAAACTGGACTGTTTATTCATTTTCACTGGTAACTCTTGTCCCAAGTTGTCCTCTCAAGTTCCTCGGGAAAGTGAATTAGACCATTTACCAACAACCGAGAACGTTTCAGCTGAAAGCTTTTTCCAAGGTAGAATTTCAAAAAGGATATTGCGTTTCTGATTCAGTTGGTATCAAGCTCAGATCGTGTCACAACAGAGGAATCATTTCTCCTATCGTATCGTTGTGTTTGTCTCATTCGTATTCAGCGCCACTAGTCATCGACGTTCAATGCCAATGTAGCATCTGTGGTACTTGAATCAGTCGTCCATTCCTCGAAGACACACAGTGCGTCCAAGAAACTCGTGCCATCCAAATCCTCTTACGATTATTCCGTTCTGTTATTTCTCTACTTCGTCACTGATCCTCTCGTATTTTCTTACGATAGATAGATCTCCGTCGTCGAACTTCATCTCCCGACGTATATCTCGTGTTTTTTGTTTTCTTAACGTTAAATGCTGTGGAATAATTTTGGTAAAACAAATCTCGTAGGTACAGTCCCATTCTCAACGTTGATCGCGCTATTTCTCTGGTAACACTGGTTTCTGTGTGCTTCTGAAATAATTATGAACGTTTCTTGAAGTGGTTAAATTTTACGTACAATTTACAAGAAGGGAAAAGAGTAACCGGTTAAATTGATCGTACAAGTGTGTAGTATAAATGCAGAGTTGTCAGTGTTAAAAAAAAAAAGAAAAAAAAAGGAGGAACCTGTTAAAATGTGCTTCATATGTTGCCTCTTGATCTCGATGTTCAACTATTTTCCGATGAAGAACACTTTGAGAAACGATCGTTATGTGACGCGAGTTTTCATCTTCGAAACAGAAGAACCGATCGAAGACCGTCTTCGATAGAGCTCTCGCGAGGATTCTTCTGGAGACACGAAAGTCGAGTGACAAGAGTGTGATGAAACGGATATGTGGATAATTTTACAGAAGAAAACGTCGAGATACGAAGAACCAGAAATTCACGATCGTGTCGGTGTTTGAAGAAAAGAAGAAACAAATCTAAAGATCACAGTTGATGGACAATTTTGAAATTCTCGAATTTTCATTCGTGAAATCGCTAGAAACGAATTTCTCTGGATAGAATAGTTCGGGGAGTGTCGAATGTTACACCGTTTTTCTGTAAAAGTTCAAACAAATTGTTGCTCCAACATGGTGTTTCGACGGCAAACCAGCGAACCGACCGGAAGTGTCACCAAGGGATCCAGCATGGCTCACAGTACCAGCTCGTCTGGTATTTTATCGAGCTGGTACACGAAAATCGCGACGAACGTGAAGAAGAAGCAACCGTTTAGTCCGAAATCGTTGTTGAAGAAAGCTTTGGTACTTGTTACAATTTTTATCTCGTATTGTTCATTTTTCCCTCGGTGAGTTACGTTTTTTTTTTCTTTCCTGGATAAAAGTGAAAGAGATATACAACTTATAGGAGAATTGGTCTCGTTCTTGTAGCTTTCACCTACGAATTTTTCTCTTTTAGTGGAAAATCATTGTTGAAGAATGCGTTGGTAATTTATCGGAACACTTTTATCTCTTACAAATTTTTCTCTCGGCGAGTCACGTTCTTTTTTTCTTCTTCTTTTCCTAGATAAAAGTGAAAGAGATATTTGCAGGAGAATTGCTCGTTGCTGTGTGCAACTTTTACCACGAATTTTTTATAGGAATTTATAACGCACAGAGAGCGCTGTAAAGTGTGTGGGTGTGTTATTGTGCAAAATGAAAGAGCCAGTGTGGGCTATCGATATTTCCTGTAGGAATTCGTGTACCGTTGGCGTAACACAACAAATATACAACGCAATTGTTTGCGTAGATTTGGTTTACTGTGTTTGTGGAATGAATTTAGCTCATCGAGTGAAGTTTACGTTTTGCAGTACACGTGCCTTTTAAATTAATTCAAATTGACTGATTTTATTGTTTACCAAGGTATCTCGTATTTTGAGTACGTAATGAGTCGAATAAATTTAGTACTAATGATCGATACGACTTAAAATAGATAAATTAAAAAAAAAAAGACAATTTAGTATTTTAGTAGAAATATTTAAAAATTATATGGATAGTATTTACAACATTTTTTTGTGTCTTTTAATTGTCTAATAATTAAAATTAAATATTCAGTAAAATACGAATATTCAAGGAGATCCTTACTGTCGAGGAATACTTCATGTTGCTTTGTAAAGTAAAAAGAAGAGTATAATTGTTGATAGAAGTGATGGAAATTGAAGTATAACGTTCACAGCGAATCGATACTAATTTGCATTCTCAATTTTCAGCTGCCGGTGGCGGATCCATTCTTGGAGAAAGTTTCGCTCTCTGATCTCGGTGAGTTTTCTTTCATTAATCATTTACATTTTACCTCGGCCTTTAATTTCGTCTTCTGGGATTCGAACCTGAACTGCGTTATCGACGTGCTGTACGTTCCTTTGGAAATCTGAACGTGTTTTGTGTAGCATTTACTGACTTAGTTGCTTAGAAAGTTACGTTAAATAGAAAATTGAGGAAAAATGAATAAATTGAAGTATAATCGTGTGAAAATTATTTCACTTCCTCTCGTTTCATAGAATACTAAAAAAAATGTTTTACAGTAATTTCTATTTAACCCTTTCTGGGTTAACTAAAATTATCCGAATTTAGTATCTATTGTAGGCAAATTGATCTCCAAATAAATAATAAATTCTTCAAAAAAGTAATTTAGCCACGAAAGAGTTAAAATAGCACGAGTAATCCCAGAAGAGCGAACAATTAAGTAAGTTGTAAATTTCAAAACAAAGCGATGTCACAATGTTCACGTTAAATACTAAATTTTCTAAAAAAGTAATTTAACCGCGAAAGGGTTAAAATAGCACAATTAATCCCGGAAGAGTGAACAGTTAAGTAAGTTACGTTATAAAACGACGTCAGAATGTCTACTTTAAAAATGAAAAGAGAAAACGAAGATTATTAAGTAATTCCAATCTGAAGGCACAGATACCGGCTTAATTTTACGGTCAACTCTTTCGAATGGTTCCACCGGATCTCCGTCAGTCGGGAGATCGCAGATTTTCGCGCGTGACAGTATTGTAATAGATCACCAACAACCCCTCTTTATCGTGTCTTTTTTCCCAACGGTGTGCATTAGTTTCGTCGCGTTTCAACCTCGTTTTACTGCCTCTCCTCGCGATCTCTAGTGGATTCAGATGACAGAATGCTTTCGCGTAAGCTCTCTTAGCGTACCAGAGAGAGAGAGAGAGAGAAAGAGGAAAGCTGGTAAATCGATGCAGCAGGTAACGTATTTATAAATAAGCGGCAGTGCGTAAATAAGGGGCGCGGGGGGTTGGTCAAATGAATTATAGAAGCATGAAATTTCAATTAATTTTATTCGCTGCTTGTGTATTTAGTAATATTAAAAATATCGACGATGTGTTCAATTTTTAGCAGTATAAAAAGTATAGACGATATTTTTAATATCACCGGCTTGTTATCTGTTACATTTATGGTCACGCTTAGGGTAACTATTTACGCGCGTTATTTTCTGCTACGTAGCATTATATTAATTTCAGTTTTTACTTCATTTTTATAAAGTGGCTGAAAGACTGTTGCGAGTTGTTCGCAGATCATTTTCTGAACATCTGATAAATGCAGGAGAAGCACAGAAAAATGAATAAACAAACGAAATAGAAATTCTGCGTGGAAAAAGGAAAGATTCGGGAAAGATGTAAAACGGGATTGTACGTTATCGCGTTAATTAGGGAGTAATTTCGCAAGAGAAACAAAATTTACAACGGTGTGTTTTTCCCACGCTGTTTGTGATAAATGAAATTGAATCGAACGGCGAAGAGAAGAAGAATATACTTCATTCAGTGGAACATCAGTTCGTTACACTTATTAATCATTGTCCTGGTAATTAAGTGCGCGCAACAGACAACACGTATCATACGGAAACACCGTTCCATTCATTTTCATTTCCATTCACGTCAAAAATTCTCCAAATCACCCTTCACCTGCAGCCTCCAAAAAAAAAACATGTGTAAAAATAAAAATTTCGTTTTAATTACCTTCTGCCTCTAAAAAAAAAAATAACAAAACTCACAAACAAACTGTCTGAAACAAGAGAACAAGTTCAAAACTCTGTGAACTTTGAATAAAAATTGCCTCCATGCTACTGTGGCTATATATTAGTATCGTGAAATTGATAACGAGTAAACACTGCAAACGAAATTCCACGAAAATTTCTAATTTTACCTGCATATCTCACGTTTTGAACAAACGTTCAATTGCTGGACGGTACATAGTTGGGGCCACGATATAGCGAGGTCGTAAATTAAACTCTGAAGAATCGGCACCGATTGATGTTGCGGCACTCAAGGCCGTGTGTTGCAGTCTGTTTGAGGGTTCCAACAATAAACGAATGGTAGCATATGATTTGGTACTTCAAGTAGAAAATGGTATTTCATTTACAAATGGAAAATATGTTAATATTAAGCTACACAATCTTTTTGCACTTTCTATCTGTATATAACACGAGTAGATAAACTAAGATGCTAAAGACATCAATAAGACCTTTACCTGTAACCGTACTTCCAAAAGCGGCTTCCCCCAGAGGGAGAAACCCTAATTTGTCCTAGCTGCATGCAGTTTTCAGTAAATATATTAGAATCAGTTGACTTTCGCTGGATACAAGAATTCTTTGTACGGTCCTGACCATGGTTTCAAGTACTTATCTGCTCGTATCTCTGTCAATTTTCGGGTCCCGGCAGCTAAAACATGTTTACTTTGACGTCTGACCGATTTTACGACCTCGCTATATCGTGGCCCCGACTATATGTGATCTTACGGGGTTGAGTGTAAGTAAGATACAACAGTGTGTTGAATTCTGTTCGCAAGTCCTAGGCTGAGTTAACTGTTGGAGGCTTTAAATCAAACCAGGAAACTCCTCCCACGTGCTCGGTGATCTATACAGCGTATCCTGCGAAATGCGACATTAGAAAGCAGTGTGTGACTATTCGTAGAGAAATATATAGGAAATACACGTGTCTCTTTGGAACTTCGTTTTCGGGAGGATCGAATTTAAGTATTATATTTATGCAGAATTTATGTAATTTGCTGTCGTTCTGAGTTTTTTTTGGCAAAATCGAATTTGAAAATTATATTTGTGCAGAACGGTGCTGTGTAATTTGTCGTCCCTCTTGCATTGGAATATTTGAAAGCAGGAAATACTTCCGAAAATATTCGTAGAAGCGTAAATGCATGCGTTACTCGACTCGAATTTTCAACATTGATTTATTCGAAAATGACGAATCCTTTGAAAAAACGTCGATTCACATTTTCGTATAAATTATAATCACACTGTATTCATACTAAAAATAATGATATTCATTTTATTCGGAAGTGAAGCTTCGCATGAAAAAATGTTACTCTACATTTTTTACTCACTTTTTTATGTAGATTCGCCCCTTTTCAGATTTTCCCACATGTTTACCGACACCCTGTGTAATCTGTAATCAAACTATATTCATACACGGTACCGGTAAATTTTCAAGATCGATTTTTCTCAAAAAATTTTCATTTTCTCGTTTGAAATGTTCCAGACCGATTTTCTGCAAAAACTGAGCTCCGCTCGAAAAAATTTCATTTCTTCCTGATATTCTTCAATTCTAATTTTAATTAAAATGAGAATCGATACGAAGAATGATACACTGTCTATTAGCAGCACATTCTACGGTGCACTTTATATGTTGCCCCTTGAAATCGTGGTACTGGGTCCCCTGTTACCCTTTGTGTTCTCCTTCTCCGCGTGCATGTGTACGTGTAGCGGGTGGATGGTGCCGATCGATGAATTCCCGGGAGTTCAGCTCGCTCGCGTGTACTCCCGACAGAGATGCAGGATCCAGAAAGAGTCGAAGAGGGATAGGTTGATTCTTGAATACACGAGAGTTACATAGCAAACGAAGGAAGGAGACACAATGGGGACGGAACGAATCGTTGGAGAAAGAACGAAAAGAAAATAACGGAAGGAAGTAATGGAGCAGAAGGGAGGAGGAATATAGTAGCGATGAGGGAAATGACGAACATGTGCTCGCTCACGAGGGGTGTTGTATACATGAACGCGTGGTGTCCGCAAATTTAGCCTATTAGGTGGACGTGAAGGGATTGAGGAGGATTTTGGTCGAGTAGCTTCACTCTGGGTTATTAGCCTTGTATAATAATTGCTAGTTGCATTTTCCATCGTACATTTTGTGTGAAAATATGAGTCGCATGTGTTTCTGTATCAAATTGCAGATTTTTGTGATTTATAATGATGTTTGTGCTTCGTGTCGTTTTAGTTTATTGTCTATACAATTGTGGCATTGAAAATTGGGTAGGATTCTTTTTGTGACGAAGATACAATATTTAAATGTAAGTTAAAGTTATTTTTAACGAAGAATAATAATTATCAGTGAGAATTTAAGGACAAAATCAAATTCTTTACTTTATTGCAAGATATGACAAGCTTTTTGAAAAAATCAATCTTCCTCATACTAAAAGTCTACAAAAGTCAAAAAGGAATCACAGTTATTTAGAACGAATCTTACTTAGAATAGAGAACATAAATAAATGAACAAACAAGTACTTACGAATAGCACTATATTTTTCTGCAAAAAATTTGAAAAAAGAATTCCTTCAACGGCATAAATTAGTTCAATCTATTCCCTTGACAAGAAATGAAAAGTACGTATAAGAAAGCTTTTCACCGGAACGAACGACCAACCAACAGGTGAAACGTAGAAACACCTGTAACTCGAGAAAAGCTCAACCAGCACGTAGAATCAGCGACTTCTGTAGTTCTTTTTTATTACTCCTTCGTACATACGTGTATACACCACACTCGTCTGTGACGTTTCAGCTTCACGTTTTACGTTCGGTCTCGGTGCTGCAGGGGCAGTGCACAGAGGGAACCGTCGAGCTGCAAAAGGAGACGGATAAGAAAGAAAATAAGCGAGGAATTGGTTTTTTGGATTATACCGGAGGAAGACTAGAAGAACGTCGAGTAAGGGGGATGAAAGGCGAGCTCACAGAGAAAAAGGATAAGCCCCGGGACGGTGCAAGGTCGCACAGATTGCATTCTATGACGCATTCGCACATTTGTATTTGAGTTTAGGTCATGGGGCGGGAGTGCGTTCGATAATACGGAAACTGGACAAGTCGAGTTAATGGAATTTTTGTACCGTGTTTTGTCGATGTGCTGTCGAAACGATGTTTCTGGTACAGGATACACACCAGCTTTGAAAGGGTAGGTGTCGGTGCTTAGCGAGAATGATTACACGTTGGAGGGATTGAAGTTGTACGAGGATTATTTGTAGAGG